TGGATCAGTTCACAACTTCACCAACAATGCATTAGTGTTCCAATTTTACCACATCTTCTCCAACAGTTACCATTTTTCTTTTCTGTCATAATAGCCAATCTGATAGGTAGTAGGTAATAGTAGATTACTATAGTTATTTACTACTGTGTCTTGTTTACCCAATCCACCACTCTATTTCTTAGCCAGCACCAAATAGTTTTGATGATTGCCCCTTTATAATATAGTTTTAGATCTGGTACAGCTAGGCCACTGTATTTTGCATTTTTTTCATTAATTCCCTTGATATTCTTGACCTTTTGTTCTTCCAGATGAATTTTGTTATTTTTCCTAGCTCTATAAAATAATTTTTTGGTATTTTGATTGGTATGACACTGAATAAGTAAATTAACTTGGGTAGAATTGTCATTTTTATTATATTAGCTCATCTTACCCGTGAACAATTAATATTTTTCCAGTTGTTCAAATCGGATCTTATTTGTGTGAAAAGTATTTTGTAATTGTATTCATATAGTTCCTGGGTTTGTCTTAGCAGGCAGACTCCTAAATATTTTATATTGTCTACAATTATTTTAAATGGAATTTCTCCTTCTATCTCTTGCTGCTGGGCTTTGTTGGTAATTTATGGTAAATTATGATGATTTATGTGGGCTTATTTCATATCCTAAAACTTTGCTAAAGTTGTTAGTTGCTTCAAGTAGTTTATTAGTTGATTCTCTAAGTATACCATCATGTCATATGCAAAGAGTGATAGTTTTGTTTCCTCATTGCCTATTCTAATTCCTTCAATTTCTTTTTCTTCCCTTATTGCTAAAGCTAATATTTCTAGTACAATATTGAATAATAGAGGTGATAATGGACATCCTTGTTTTACCCCTAATCTTATTGGGAAAGCTTCTAGCTTATCCCCATTACATATAATGCTGGCTAATGGTTTTAGATAGATATCACTTATCATTTTAAGGAACACTCCATTTATTCCTATGCTTTCTAGTGTTTTAATAGGAATGGGTGCTATATTTTGTCAAAAGCTTTTTCTACATTTATTGAGGTAATCATTTGATTTCTGTTAGTTTTGTAATTAATATGGTCAATTATGCTGATAGTTTTCCTAATATTGAACCTGCATTCCTGGTATAAATCCCACCTGGTCATAGTGTATTATCCT